AGGTAACATTTTTGTAAGTTTTGCAACTTTCTCATACTTAATCCGAGCTACTTACTTTTGATTTTTGTCTATTTTCAGGTTTAATATTTTTTCCTGAGGCTTGCTAATCCAATATGCTGTAAAATTTTGTTTTGTTTTGTTTTGTTTTGTTTTTGGTAGTGGGGATCGAACTTGGGACCTTGCGTTTACAAGGCAAGCAGTGGAACCACTGAGCTAAATCCTTGGCTCAATGCTGTAGATTTTGTTGATAGTCATACAATAGATTTTTAACTATAATAAAATGTGTATTACTTCTATATAAAAGTAAACATATGCAAGATAACATGTATATAATAAAGCATGTCTATAGGATCAATTGCAGGATAATATTGTATTGTTCTCAGAATTGGGCTTTTAGTACCTGACTTTTCAGTAAGTGTCTTGTCTCATTAATGGCTTTACAAATAATCAAGTTTGGGTTTTTTCTTTTCATGTGACCTAAGGGAAAATTATGTCCAACAACAGTATCTAACATCAAAACATAAGCTTGTGGCCAGGCATAGCAGCAGCACACACTGTAAACCCAGCACTTGGGAGGCTGCGGAAGGAGGATCACAGCAAGTTTGAGGTCAGCCTGGGCTACACAGTGAGGTTAAGGTCAGCCTGAACTGAGACCCTGTCTCAAAAAAACCCAAAAACAAAAAACATAAGCTTCTGGCCAGGCATGGTGGCGCATGCCTGTAATCCCAGCACTTGGGAGGCTGGGGCAGGAGGATCACTGTGAGTTCGAGACCAGCCTGGGCTACATAGTAAGTTCCAGGTCAGTCTCAACTACATAGTGAGACCCTGTCTCAAAAAAGCCAAAAATAAAAATAAATAAAAAATAAAATAAAGTTGGGATGTTAGTAATTTGTTATTGGGGAAAAAAGAAATACAAAGTTTAACTTTAAAATCTCAAATTAAATATTTAAGAGCGATATGTTCCATGGCCAAGTCCCCCATCTGTGGGTCTGGAACAGCAAGAGCTTCTTCACAAGCTGTTTCAAGCCTTGAAGCTCAGCAAACAAGCCTAAGATAAAAATCTGTGCATTTAGGCCTACGTGACCAAATGTGACGAGTGGGGACTCCACAGGGATGCAGCTCACAGATCTTTCCTGAGAAAAGTGAGGCTGTTCCAAAGATAAAGACAGAGCAAGAGAAATGAGAGAAATCCATGTCCAGGCTCCGTAGGCTGCTGCCACCAAGGGCTGGAGGCGAAACAGGAGAGCCCAGAAAGCACCGGACACAGCGGGGGCTTCCAGCACCTGATGACAGAGTAGGACAGCAAGGCTGGAGAAGTAGAAGCCGCTCAGAGGCACTGCAATGAAGCACCCGGGACTTCACGGAGTGTAAGGTAGGAACCCTGTAAAGACTGGGAGGAGAGATATGCTTAAAACCCAGCAAACAGAGCATGAGACTGAAAACAACAACCACCATGACCCACAGTGCAGGCTTCTGACTTCTGAGGCTGAGTGAGCACTCTCAGCACTTGAAAGCCGACAGCTCCGGTGGAAAGTACAGAGTTGTCTGGAAATTTTCAGCCCCAAAATATCCTGAAGGGAAGGAAAGCCTGATCCTATTTGCAATCCAATGATTGCCCCCAATGAAGTTACTGAAATAGGGCTGCCGCTGAGCCCAGATCCAGTTCAGCTTTGGATCAAAATAAGATCGTCCAGTCTGTAGCAGCCTGGCAGAGGAGAAGAATGCCCTGTTTCCAAGGAGCCTGTCTCTTTGCCAAATGTCGGATCCATTAGTTGACCAGCTGCCACATGAGCTCTGCGCCACTCACTAGACACAAAATTCTTCCTCACCATCATTTTAAGAGGAAAGATCCTCTCCCGAAGTAATACAATTTTGCCAAATAATGTACCTGATCGAAATGACTTACTTTTATCATCTTTGGTAATCTCCATACAGTTGGTACAGTGAAGTTTTTTCTCTTTATATTTTCAAGTTAACATATTCAGATTCAAACCATCTGACCAAAAAAAAAAAAAAAATCCTAATGCATTTTAATGATGTCATATGAACCAGCTCAGAATTACTATGTTACAAATAACCTGTTTATGTGACTAGCATGCAGTTCAGCTGTTTATTAATTGGAGCCAAATGTAAGGTAATTGTTCTTTAAGATATTTAATTGGGGACCGGGGATTTAGCTCAGTGGTTCTGGCTCCTGCCTCACAAGTGCAAGGACCCAAGTCCGATTCCCCGGTACCAAAAAAAGAAAGATATTTAATAGGCTCCTGGGACCTACTGTAGTTCATAAAGTGATAACTAGTTTTACTTTCATTTTTAAACCAAAACATGTAGTAACTGTGTTGAATTACTTTTTGGTAAATTAATACTTAATAAAATATTTTCAGAGTCTTAAAAAAATGTGTGTGTACGCGCTTGCTTGCTTATGGATCTAAAAATAGAGGCCCGGAAGACTAAACTCAGGGCCTTTCGAAAGGCGTGCAAGCCTGAGGCGCAGCTCTTCTCCGCCCCGGGGCTGGGCTTCTTATCTGCACGCTGGGCTCCAGGGCATCTCAACTCCCCTTGGATCTCCGCCCCACCTCCGGGTCTCCTGGGTCTGAGAAGCTGCAGGGGAGGCAGCAGTTACCGCTCAGCGCCGCTCTGAGGCAGCAGAGGCTGGAGCCCAGTGGTTTCCAGTCCTCTCCCGCGAGGATCCATGGAATACACTTTGCGGTGTACTCTGGCCGGGCACTCTGTAGTCTTTTCAGTCTTCAAACGAGCTCAAGTGATCGCCCCGTGTAGCTGCCACAGGCGGGCGCCGCCACTCCTGGCGCGGCTCTCTTGCCACCTTCTAGAGCTGCGCCTTCTGCGAGCGCCGTGTGCATGGATGTGGATGACCGGCGGGCGTGCGCCTCCAAAACTTGTGTGGCCACCTGAGATAACTGAATCACTGTTATTTTGTGGAATAGTGAAAACAGCAGTGAGGGCCTTCGGATTTGTCACAACCCCCTTATCGTTGTCTGTGTGTGGAGCTCAACCCCAGGTTGGGCAAGCGCTATTCCCTGAGCCGCCCCGCTCTCCCATCCCCCAGTCTTTCGAGTTACTAGCCCGGGTTGCAGAGTGGTTAACTGACAGTAGTAACATGCCCTCGGCCCTTAAGCAGCAGGTGTTTGAACTCCGCGGGTACCACTTAGTTTTGTTTGTTTTGGTACCGGGTATCGAGCTCGGGACCTTGCGCTTGCAAGGCAGGCAGCTGAACCACAGAGCTAAATCCCTGACCCGCAAGTATTTTGTTTTTTGAAATTTGTAACAGTTTGAAAAGACTCACAGGCAAACTGCAGAGCCTTGAAATAGTGAAAAAATGAAAGAAAAGCCAGGTATGTCATGCATATATAAAATATATGCAAAACTGACTATTTTTACCATTTACCTCCTAAAATATACACAAATCTATTATAAAAAGTTAAAATGTCTTCAGACAAATGGAGTGTGCTCATTTAGTCAAGAGAAATGTAGACAAACATAAAGATGTGGTATCAAATCATAACTGCAGCCAGGCAGGGAGGCACATGCCTGTAATCCCAGCACTCGAGGATGAAGCCAAAGAATCAAGAGTTCAAGGCTGGCCTAGCCTACATAGTGAGACTTTGTCTCAGAGAATCAAATAAATAAATTGCAGCTGCTTGCGATTAATTTTAGTACCTATTGCACTATAATTTTTTTTGAGACAGGGCCTTGCTATATAGTTCTGGCTGGCCTGGAACTCATGAGGTCACCCAGTCTAACCTTGAATTTATGGCAATCCTTCTGCCTCAGCCTCCTGAGTGCTGGGATGTGTACCATCATATCTGGCTTTTTGTACCATAATTTCACAGTCACCTCCTGTTGTTGTTTGCAATGAACTCAAATGACTATCTATTTAAAATACTGTATGAGTGGCTGGGTGTGGCGGTGCACGCCTGTAATCCCAGCACTCAGAAGGCTGAGGCAGGAGGATCGCTGTGAGTTCAAGACCAGCCTGAGCTACATAGTGAGTTCCAGGTCAGTCTCACTACATAGTGAGACCCTGTCTCATAAAACCAAAAAAACAAACAAACAAACAAACAAAAAAACTGTATGAAATGAAATAAAATACTGCGTGAATAAAAGGCCATGTGATACTGATGATCCCCACATGAACTGTTCATTTCTCCAGTAAATTGCTGATCATAATCCAAAGTAATCGCTCAAGATTCTTGTGTAATTTCCATTATATATTTTATACGTGTGTGTGTGTGTGTGTGTGTGTATTAGAAACAGTGGCACATGTCTGTAATCCCAGCTGCTGGGAAAGCTAAGGCAGGAGGATCATAATTTGAGCCCAACTTGAGCAACTTAGTGAAACCTTGCATGAATGTAAAAGACAAAAACAGCTAGGGTCAAAACTCAGTGGTGGGAGTGCCCCTGGGTTCAGTCCTCGGTACCTACAAAAATGTCAATCAACTGCTCATGCTGTGACTGCATAGGCTCCCCCAAAAGAGGTTGTTAGTAACGTTTTGGAGAGGTCAAAGTTTGTGCTGGAGGTGGGTGGCTCCCGCGTCTTTTGAGCGCCTGGTTAGATGAGGGAATGACGGACCTAGTGGAACGCACACTGAGCTGCGGATGTGAAGAGCTGGGTTGTAAGTCTTTGTTTCTGCTGTTTGTTTGCTTTTGGTGGTACTGGGCACTGGACTTTTGCACTAAGCTACGTCCATACCACCCCCCTTTCATTATTTTTTATTTGGTGACAGGGTCTCAAGAAGTTGCTAAATTGCCCAGGTTTAGCTTGAACTTGTGATCTTCCTGCCTCAGCCTCCCAGAGTGCTAGGATTATAGGCTTGTACAACTGTGCTCTAAGTTTTTGATTTAAAAATTCTTAGCTTTGTGACCTTGGCCAGACTTTTAAATCTCTACTCATTTTGTATAATTCTGTATGGTTGTTGTCCCCATAATTGAATCACTCTTAATTTTAACAGATACCATTTGAAACATTTTTATTACTGTTGTTTTACAAAGTTATGACATCGAAAGCTGTGGTCTCATGTCTCATTGATGAAGTCCTAAGGTCTTCATTAACATGATCAGGCGTTCTCACTGCATTCAGGTGTGTCTCCCTTTCTCCCCTCACCTTGTTTCCTTTGTCTTTCTTTTTTGGTCCTTAGTTATCAGGATAAAATTCACCATGTTCCTCTCCAAGTCCTGTGTTAACGTTTCTAGAAATGTGATTACTGTTTAATATTTGTTCAAGGAGACAGATAATCGACACATTGTGGTTCAATTGAATTCCCACTTAAATAATAAATGCAATCTGTTGATGACAAACCAGTCCCTGATCACAATGTTATAAACCTCATTATTCAGAGTGCATGGATTCACAATAGAGAGCGATGACACAGCATAGCGCCATCACTATGGCCTTTTATTATTTTTTTTTCTTTTATTGAATTTATTGGTACATTTTAGGCATATAGAACAGTTACATTCATCACTGGGATCTTGTACCTTTACATGACAGGTCTTCGTTCTCATTTTTTCCCCTTGTCCCCGCCCTCCCTTCACCCCCTCCTCCCCTCCCCATTTACAAACACTTTATTTCCATTTTTTCATTTTCTCATATTTTTTCCCTTTATTAATCGTTCTCATTTTCCCCTTGTCCCCGCCCTCCCTTCCCCCCCTCCTCCCCTCCCCATTTACAAACACTTTATTTCCATTTTTTCATTTTCTCATATTTTTTCCCTTTATTACATTTCCCCTACCCTTCCCACTTTCCCTACACCTTTAGCCCTTACTTGGCGCCTTTTAAATTTTAATTCAGGGTTTCACTCTCTAGTTCAGGCTGACCTTGATTGAACTCACTATGTAGCCAAGGATGGCCTTGAACTTTGATCCTCCTGCCTCCGCTTCTCAAATGCTGGGGTTACGGGTGTGCACTACCACGCCAGACAGCATTTAGCATTTTCTTTGGACAGCTGGTTGAGATTTCACCCAGGAAAATAAAGTTGTGACAGAGAAACGGGCCTATTTGGGAATCCATAAGATTAAATAAATGAGAGCTCTTTTCTGTTTGATTTGTTAAGATTTGGCCTTAAAATTAATATAGAAAAAGTATTTGTTAAGCTTTAGTTTTTGAGGATGGCAAAGACAAGAGTCTATTAGGAACTTGCTGGTATTAACTGTACACTTGCAAAAGACAGACTACGGATTTAGGCAGCGTGGAAGGAGAGCACGCGGCAGTCACAGCATGACCCTATTCCTGAACATAAACACTAGTCCACTGACTGGACCTGAAAAGGATTTGATGTTTTAAATAAACTGAGTACTAAAGAAAATTATGAAATCTCATTCTCAGTACTAACAGAAGCTGTTATTTACTGAGAAACATTTTTGCCACACACTCTGCTAAGCCATTTCACTATCTATATTTCTGACTCCTATAGCGTTGGTAAGTGTCCCCAGAGTCTGTGTGGTGAAGGCAGCAGCCTGTGGTGCTATGGGGATGTGGCAGGACCTTTCGGAGCCTGGGCCTGTAGCCAAAAGTTGGGTCACAGGAGAGAGCCCTTGAAGAGGATAGCAGACCCTATCTCCTTTGCTTTGTGGGGGTAGGGGCCAGGGTCTCACTATGTATTTCAGGGTGGCCTTGAACTTGCAGAGATCCTCCTGCCTCAGGCTCCTGAGTGCTGGGATTATAGGTGTGCGCCACTACATGCAGTTGCTTTAGGTTTTTTTTGGGGGGGGGTTGTTTTGTTTTGTTTTGGTATCAGGGATCGAACTTGGGACCTTGTGCTTGTGAAGCAGGCAGTGGAACCACTGAGCTAAGTCCTGGCCCTTGTTTGTGTTTAAATAACAATGTCTCCCTTCGTAGGCCAGGCTCATCTTGAACTTACCATCTCATACTCATGCCGCAAACTCATGATCTTCCTGCTTCAGCCTCCCAAATTCCAAGATTATGGGCAGGGATCATCACACCTGGCTTTTGCTTTAGATTTTGATGGGTCCTTAGAGACCATTTAAAAAATATCCACTGATGCACTTGGAGAGGTGTTCAACATCACTAGCCATGTGTAAATGCAAGCCAAAACCACAATGAGATATCATACACACTTACTAGAATAACAGAATAACTAAAAATTTGAAAAACAGTGATAAACATCGAATGCTGGTGAGGATGCAGAAACTAGATTTCTCATATATTGTAAAATACAGGCAGAATGTAAAAGAACTGCTCAAACCTGGGCGTGGTGGTGCACACCTATAATCCCAGCATCATAGGAGGCTGAGGCAGGAGGAGGGCAATTTCAAGCCAGCCTGGGCAATTTAGTGAGACCCTTGTTTCAAAATAAAAAAAGAGTTGAAGATGTAGTTCCTAGTTCTGTAGCTGTAAATATAGATGTAGTTGTGAAGTCCCTGGTTCAATTCTCAGTACAACCACCACCACCAAAAAAAAAAAAAAAAAAAATCACTTTGGAAAATAATCTATTCATTTCTTACAAAATGAAACATGCACTCAATATATAACCTGGCAGCTGTCCACTTGGGCATTTATCCCAGAGAAATGAAAATATGCACTCATACAGAAAAGAAATCAATGTACAAATGTTCCTAAGTTTTATATATAATAACCAAAAAACTGGAAAAGACTCAAATGTCTTTCAGTGTGTGGTTAAAGCGTAGTACAATCCAGCCAAGCACGGCACCCAGCGGTCCCAGCATTGTGGACCAAAGGCAGTAGGATCTCAACTTCAAGGCCAGCCCGGACTATAGAGCAAGACCTTGGCTTAAAATAACAACAGGAGTAATACATCTATCCTATAAAATATATAACAAAACAACAACAATAACAATAAAAAGAAACTTTTTGTGTGTGGTGGTACTTGGGATTGAACGCAGCACCTCTTGTACTGAGCTATACCCCTAGCCTTTTGTTTGTTTGTTTAATACCAGGAATCAAACTCAGAGGTTTGTGCTTGCCTTGCAGGCACTGCCACCACTGAGCTACATCCCCAGCAAAAAGAAATATTTTGTAGTACTAGGAATTGAACCCAGGAAGCACTGAGGTACATTCTCAGCCTCTGCCATTCCCCTTTACTTTATTTTTGACACACAGTCTTGCTAAGTTGCCCATAATGGTTTTAAACTTCTGGCCGTCCAACATTAGCCTCCTGAATATCTGGGACTATGGGCATGTGCCACCGTGCAGGAAGCCGCGTCATGTCCAAAGCATGCTGTAAGCAGTGCAGGCTGTAAAGAGTTAAATCCCTCAGCTGGTTTAAACTACCTGACTCATAGAGAAGCCTCTCACGAGCACTGTGGTAGTGTGCAGGTTAACATGACCTCCCTGCTGGGTCAGGGATTTAGCTCAGTGGCAGCCTAAGATCATGAGTTTGATCCTTGGTACCAGAAAAAAATAAAAGAAAAAAAAATCTCCCTGCTAAGGGCCACCAGTGAGACCAGAGTAATGGCCTATGAAGCTGTGGGGCTGACACATGTAGCTGAGGTCAGAGTAAATCACACCCAAAGTCCATTCCCACAATCAGTACCTTCATAGCTAGGACGGTGCTTAATTAAAACCATATATTTTGTCTGTCTTGCTTCTAATTTGAAAATGCTTTGACTCTTCTCTTTAAAGCTTGCTTAGGGCTGGGGATTTAGTTCAGCATTTCCGCTGCCTGACTTGTAAGCACAAGGCCCCGAGTTCAATAGCTGGTACAGGGAAAAAAAAAAAAAAAAAAAAAAAAAAAAATTAGTTTCCATGGTAACTGCACATACTACACATCTGTACATGTATCGCACCTTTACCCTAATTCATGAATAATAAAATCCAGTGGAGGTTAGTGACCAGGATCTTTTAGCTGGGGATCCAACTTTGGCTGTCCCAGTCCTCTTTCTTTCTTTCTTTTTTTTTTTGTTTTTTTGAAACAGGGTCTCACTATGTAGTTGAGATTGACCTGGAACTCACTATGTAGCCCAGGTTGGTCTCAAACTCACAGCGATCCTCCTGCCTCAGCCTCCTGAGTGCTGGGATCACAGGCGTGCGCCACCACACCCGGCTTCTTTCTTTTTTCTTAGTTCTGTTTTAGTGTATTTATTTCTTTAGCCCTGCATCGCATACTGAGTAGGTGGGGACTAGAGACTTTCTGCAGGGGTCTCTAGCACCACCATCCCTGGCAAAAAGAAACTAGTGATACATGCAGCAAATTGGAATGGGATGTAAAGGAATTATGCTAAGAAAAAAAAACCTGAAAAGGTATTTTAAATGTATAATTCCACCTCTATAATATTCTAGAAATGACCAAATTATAGTGATAGAGAACAAATTCACAGTTGGCAGGCATGGGAGCAGGATGGGGTAACTACAAAGGGTTTGGGATAGAGCACAGTGCACAGTGCTTGCCTAGCTAGAACGCCAGCAGCCTCAGGTTCAAATCCCCAGCCTTCCAAGAAGTTGAGCTTACAGATGTGCACCGCCATGCCTGGCAAGAAACTTCATCAGTGTGTGAAATTGCTACTGCCCACTACTGAGGCTAAATGTGGCCACTGGTGTGTCACAGTGGGAAGCCAGTAGCTGATGCAATACGGTACACAGCAGCTTCTAACTTGCTTTGAGTGCCAGGAAAAGAGCTTCTAATGTGACAAAAAAGAGACCCCAAAGAAAGACTGTCTACTTCCTAGAATGTTAATGAACTAAATTTGAAATAATAATTATTAAAGAAAAATAAAAAAGAATTAAAAGTATTATTAGCATGTACTTAATTTGTACACAAAGGTGGTAAATCAGCAGATCAAAAAAAATTTTTTTTGAGCTGGGATCTCACCGTGTAGTCCAGGCTGGTTTTGAACTCACTGTATAGCCCACACTGGCCTCAAACTCATGGAGATCCTCCTGCCTCAGCCTTCCAAGTGCTGGGATTATAGGCATGTGCTACCACATGTGGCTCCATTTATTTTCAAATTCTCTATCTCCTTTATTTCTTGTTTTTTTTAGTTGTTTATTTTAACTGACAAAAATTGTATATATACACAATTCATAACAGCTGAATCTTTGAAGCATCTTATATGTCCATTAACATATGAATGAAAAAAGAAAATGCGGTATTTACATACAAAGGAGTACACACTACTATAAAGAAGGATAAATTTGAGTCATTTGTAGGAAAATGGATATACCTAGAGACCATAATGTTAAGCAAAATAAATCAGACATGAACCCTTAAATATGTTTCTCTTATATGAAAAACCAAAAGTATTCATGGTAAAAAACATGATGTTTTAAAATACATATACACTGGGCATGGTGGCACATACCTGTAATCCCAGCACTCGAGAGGCTGAGGCAGGAGGATCACTGTGAGTTCGAGACCAGCCTGGGCTACATAGTGAGTTCCAGGTCAGTCTCAACTACATAGTGAGACCCTGTTTCAAGAAACCAAATAAATAAATAAATAAATAAAATAAAACACATATACAAAACCAGGCATGGTGGCACATACCTGTTTTCTCAGCACTTAGGAGGCTGAAGCAAAAGGACCATTGCAAAATTGAGGCCATATATGTTGTGTAATGGCCAAATCAAACTAAAAATGTTTTAGCTCACATATTTAATTTATTCATGGTCAGAACACTTAAAAATTAGTCTCTTAGCAATTTTCAAGTGTACAATGTATTATTAAATATAGTTACCATATTGTACAATAGATCTTTTGAACTTATTCCTCCCATCTAACTGAAATTTTATATCCTTTAACCATTTCCGCAATTCTGCACCCAACTGGAACCTTACTCTGCTTCTACGAGTTAGACATTTTTGAGTTTTCACATATTAGTGAGATGGGGTGTTTGGTTTCCTTTTTTTGAGACAAAGTTCTACTGTGTTGCCTAGGCTAGCTTTGAAATTGAGATCTTAATTTTTAAAAATTGTCCTAAGCAAAATATGAAATTTGTGACTCATACAATTAAAAAGTTTGGGAGTAGACTTCAATCACGATGCAACCAGGGGCTCAAATCATATCATGGGGACCCAATTTCTCTATCTCTTGGTTACATTTCTACTGCATCAGTTTATCTCAGAGGCTTTTTGCCTTGAGGTGGTAAGATGATTCCAGAAGATCGCCATCCTTTTTGGTTTGTTTGTTTGTTTGTTTCCACCACCCTCTATCATTCTAGTTCCAAAGTCACGGATCAGGGTGGTGGTACAGGCCTATAGTCCCAGCATTTGAGAAGCCAGGCGGAAGGAGGCCAGCCTGCACTACAGAAAGAGAGTTTATTAAAAAAGAGTAGAGGAGCTGCTGGCTCGGCATTGGTATGTGCCTACATTCGCAGCTCTCCTGGAGACTTAGCAGGAGGAACGGGAACCCATGTGTTCAGGGCCATGCTGAGCAACTTGGTGAGACGTCCTCAGGCCATCTCAGAAAATAAAGTCAAAAAATAAAGTTGAAAAGATGTCTTTTCCCATGACTTATTTATAATTGGGCAAATTTGGTCAAATAGGGTGAGGGATTTAGCTCAGTGGCACCATGCCTGCCTTGCAAGCACAAGGTCCCGAGTTCAATCCCAGTATAGCAAACAAACCAACAAACAATTTTAAAAATTGGACAAATAACTTTCCCTGAACCAACTAGTATGACCAGATACTTGCCTGGTCCTGGGGACAGACTTACTTTTTGATGTAATTAAGTGTCTTGACCAGCTTTTTGTCACCGAGACAAAATACGCATGATAATCTACTTAAAGGAAGAACAGCTTATGTGGTTCACGGTTTCATAGTCGTCAGTCCATGGTGGGCTAGTTTCATCACTTTAGGTTTGTGGAAGGCAGAAGCATCAAGCTGGGAGCGTGTGGCAGAAGAAAGCTGGTTACCTCATGACAGCGGGAAAAGAGCTGGTGAAGAAGCGTGTAGGAACAGGAGATAGTCCCCAGGACCACCTCCCACCCCATCCGTTCAACCGTGGCCCACCTTCTAGGATGGCATCACCCCTCCCATGCTGCCATCAAATTGTTACAAAAATTAATGAGACAAGAGTTAAGGTTATATTCAGCAGTAAGGACAAGTGGCCCTGCTGGGCATGGTGGTGAATGCCTGTAATTCCAGCCCTCAGAAGGCTGAGACAGGAGTATCACTGAGTTTGAGTCCAGCCTGAACTACATAGCAAGACCCTGTCTCAAAAATAAATTTGTTTTGCTTACATCATACCTCCTTGGTCTACAGCTTCATTCTGTCACAGTGGGACACTACTCCGGCACTCTGCTAACAAAGAATCAATTAGTGGATTGATCCATCAGTGGAGTGAGAGCCCTCATGGTCCAGTCCCCTTCCTGGGGCCCCACCTCTGAACACAGGAGACTTTTGAGGAAATTTGAGACCCAAAGCATAACTGAAGCTACCCACGCCTCTGCCACACCTGGGCCAAAAAAATCAGAGTGCCATTAGCCCAAGAAGGGAAAATGGATGTGTCCCTCACAACCAAAAAACCAAAGGGCCTGGCGAGGTGGAGCATCCTGTGATCCCAGCACTGGGCAGGTAGAGGAAGCAGGGCTGGGAGTTCGAGTCTGCCCTGGCTGCACAGAGAGGTCAAGGCCAACTTGGACTACATAGCATGACCCTGTCTCCAAAAGACAAAATAAAACAAACATAAAAACCACACACACATATGCAGATAAATGAAATATGAGTGGGCCCGTTGGTACATTCCCTTAACCCTAACAACTCTGGAGGCCAAAGCAGGCAGCTTGCAAGTTCAAGCCCAGGCTGGGCAGTTTACCAAGCCCTATTTTAAAATAAAAATGTTAAAAGGAGAGCAGTTCAGTGTATCCTGGGTTCAATCCTCAGCATCACCACTGAAAAAAATTAAGTCTTTATAGATGTTCCCGTCATACTCAAAAGTTGAGAACCACTGTCCTATAGTTGGCTTAAAATTGATATATTAGTTAATTCAGTTATCTCCACCTACCTGATATACTCCTTCCTTTTAATATCACTTGTCTAAATCCTTCAGGGTTTATCTATTCTATAACAGTTCTCAAATTGCAGGCAACAGTTCCATCGTGATGTTTGCAAGGTTTGTTTTGTTTTAAGGCCTTTGCAGTGTGCTATGCAGCTTAGTTTTCTAACTTCGTTGTTGGTGTTTAGTGTTTTTTGTTTTTTTTTTGTTTTTTTGTCCCCGGTACCAGGAATCGTACCCGGGACCTTGAGCTTGCCAGGCTGGTGTCTCTGAGCTATATCTCCAGCCCTGTTGTTGTTTTGTTGTTGCTGTTTTTGAGACTGGGTCTCATTTTGTAGCCTAGAATGACCTGGAACTCACAGCGACCCTCCTGCCTCAGCCTCCCAGATGCAGGGGTTTCAGGCTAGCTTGCTTTCTTGCCTCTGTTCTCCCTTCCCTTCCTCTCTGTCTTATTAAGTTGGTAAACTGACCTCCCTCCAACAGTAGGGCGAGGCGCATGACTTTGCTCTGCTGCTGAAAACCCCTCCTCTCTCCTCGCTGGGCCCAGCTCCTCGCCTTGACCCCTGAGCAGGGACGCACGCTGACTCTGCCATCCCTGGCCGACACAAGCCTTACATTCATGACCTCATTCACCGCTTCCAGGCCCCATTGTGCCTTGAAATTTCCCACTGTTGCACTTTTGTTGCTGCTCTTCCCACCTCTTGTAATAAAGGAAATAACACAATGGGGAGTGAGCAATCCGGGCCGTCAGGACTCTCTGTGAACCCCCTGCCCTGTTCTCCACTGCACTGTCCCACGGGGCTGTCCTAGCGGGAAACCCGGCGGCCTCCCTCCTCCCTGCTGTCCATTCGCGAAGCTCCGCGTTGTGCCGCTGGGGCGATTGCTTCAGATCTTCCGTTCCGCTCTTTCTCTCCCGCGGCCTCGGAGCGCGAGCTTCGTACGTATCCGCATGTCACGCAGTCTTCCGGTCTTTCAGTAAAGATCTCCTAGCCGGAACGAGCGTTTCCATCCTTCCCAGCTCACTTTCTAGTTGCATTCTCTCTTTCCCACTCCTTCCTTACAGATTTTACGGCTGTTTCTGAATAACAAAGAGGGAAACCTGCAAAGAATTCTCTCCCGGTGGATGCGTTGAGAAGATAATGTAAAATAACTACAAAAGATTTAAAGACGGCAAAAGGGATTGTTTGCTTCATGAGATTTTTCCAGCACTAGTTTTGGTTTCTAAAGTGCATTACAAAGAAAGCACATACAAATTATCAAGTGTTTTTAGGCCCAGGAGAATGTGTATAGATAGATAAGCTTGGAAAAGCTCACATACAGTTCTGCTCAATTCTGAAACTGGGAGAATTTAGAAGTTAAAATATATAATTTAGTTAGGCCTAATCAAAAGAGACAAATATATCATTCTTAGGCAACACGAAGAAGTAGATTTTTGAGCAGGGCATGGTGGCACAATCCTGTAATCCCAGCACTTGGGAGGCTGAGGCAGGAGGATCGCTGTGAGTTGGAGATCAACCTGGGCTACATAGTGAGTTCCAGGTCAGTCTCAACTACATAGTGAGACCCTGTCTCAAAAACAAAACAAACCAAAAAAAAGATTTTTAAAAACAATTTCCTTAGCTTCATTTGGCTGTCTGGGGTCTTGATTCTCATTAAGAAACAAACTCGGTATCTTGAATTCAAGACCAGCCTGGACTACATAGCAAGTTCCAGGCCAAAAAAACAACAAAACTGGGGCTGGGGATCTAGCTCAGAGGTTCCGACACCTGCTTCGCAAGTGCAAGGTACCAGGTCATTCCCTGGTACCAAAAAAGAAAACAAACAAACAAATAAAAACAATAAAACATCAAGCTGGTTGTTGCATGCTGGTAAACCCATATATTGGGAAGCTGAAGCAAGTAGACTACAAATTGAGAACAACCTGAATTTAACAAAGACCCTTGTCTCAAAATAAAAAAATTTAGAAGTCTGGGGATGGGCATGGTGGCCCATGACTGCAATTCCAGCACTCAGGAGGCTGAGACAAGAAGCTCTTGAGTTGGAGGTGGCCTGAGCTACATACACAGTGAGACCTGGTTTCAAAAACAAAAACATGGGGTCTGGTGATGTGCTGCAGCACCAAAGTGTGAGGCCCTGGGTTCAATCCCCAGTACTGCTAAAGATCCAATCAAAAAGTGGGAACTGGGTCAGGTATAGTGGCACACGACTCATCCCAGCACTGAGGAGGATGAGGCAGGAGGATCAGTGTAATTCTGAGGCCAGCCTGGACTACGTAGTGAATTCAAGGCCAACCTAAACTACACAGTGAGACCTTGTCTCAAACAGATACAAAAAGATGCCAGGGATTTAGCTCAGTGGCACAGTGCCTGCCTTGAATGAGCAAAGTCCTGAGTTTGATCCCCAGCACAAAAAAGAAAAGAAAAGGAAAGGAGAGGCCAAGTGCCCTCCCTGCCCTTTTCAAGGTGTGTTTTTCACTTCCTTGCTATGCCCAGGTGCTGTAATCACTCACTCATTTCCTTGGCTCTTGGGAAGGTGTTTTCACACATGGACAGTTGTTCGAATTGATGGCTCTGGCTGGATACAGTACAATATGTCCACAGTGCCAGCTACTAGGGAGGCTGAGGCAGGAGGGTTGTTTGAGCCACACATTCAAGGCCAGCCTGGGCAACACAGTGAGACCTTGTCTAAAAACAAACAAACAAACAAACAAATGTTGTTTCTGTGAGGAGCAAGCCCTGGAAAGTCTTGTTCTGCCAACTTGCTGATGCTGAAACCGCCCATCTTCTTCATAGAGGTGAAGATGCTTGGGTCATGGCGGGAACAGGTGCACAGGACTCTGTCCCGAAGGCTACCATATGGAGGCTGCGTGGACACACTCTCAGCCTTGCCTTTGCGTTACATTGTCTGAACTGTGAATAGTGGCGACCACCGTCATTTCACCTTGATGAATTATTCTTTTCTTATGCTTTGCTCTTTACTTTGAGGAAGTAGCCTTTAGTAGTTCAAGTTTATGCAAAGAAGTTTCTTTTGGGGGAAAAAAAAGTTTCTTTTGTAAACTTAGGGAAGCTCCAGACCAATTCTGATCTTCTTGAAGTTGGCTGACTATGAACAATTTGGGAATCACAAGCCCACAAACACCGAGAACATACTCGACCACATTATTTTAATTAGTTAATTGATTATTTTATTTATTTATTTATTTATTTATTTTTGATTTTTTCATGCAGAGTCTCACTAGGTAGTTGAGACTGACCTGGAACTCACTATGTAGACCAGGTTGGTCTCAAACTCACAGCGATCCTCCTGCCTCAGCCTCCCGAGTGCTGGGATTACAGGTGTGCGCCATCACGCCAGGCCACACATTCTTATTTTAAAACATAGAGCACAGCCAGGCATGGTGGCACATGTCTGTAATCCCAGCACTCAGGAGGCTGAGGCAGGAGGATCACAATTTCAGGCCCAGCCTGGTCAACTTAGCCTACTTCAAGATTTAAAAATTAAAAAGGGCTAAGGATATAGCTCAGTGTGAAGGCCCTAGGTGCCATCCTGTATAACTAAAAACATCATCTTTGCTGGGCGTGGACACCACTCAGATTCCCATCAGCAATAGAATGGACAAATATTGCTGCTATGTTAAACATATTTTTTTAAAAGAATGAACTACTGTAGCCCAGTGTGGTGGTGCACGCCTGTGATCTCAGCTGTCACAGGCTGAGGCAGGAGAATTGAAAGTCTGGGCTCAGCTTGGGCGACCTGGCAACTGAATATGACGCTGTTTCAAAATCAAAATAAAAAAGGCTAGGAGGCCAGGGATTTAGCGCAGTGGTGCTCTGCCTGCCTCCTAAGCAAAACGTCCTGAATTTGATCCCCGGTACTGCAAACAACAACAACAGCAACAACAACAAACAAACCCTATCCATTCTTGGGGCCAGGGATTTGGCTCAGTGGTGCTGCACATGCCTGTCAAGCACAGCGTCCTGAGTCCAGTCCCCGGTAGGAGGAGTGGGGTGGGATGGTGGAGCACACCTGTAATCCCAGCACTGGGGAGGCTGAGGTAGAAGGACTGTCATGAGTTCAAGGCCAGCCTAAGCCACATGGCATGACCTTGTCTCAGAAAAAGGCAGGGAGGGGGAGTTAGGGATGTAACTTGGTGCAGAGGACTGGTTTTAGTCCCCAGTATTGCAAAAAATAAAACAAAACCAGAAACCTGCTGTGATATGCAATATAGGTAACGAAGAAAGTGTGAGTGCTTTGTGCATGGTTCTGTTCACAGACGCTCAAGAGCAGCTGAACTATTGTTACTGTTACTTTTATGATTCAGGACAGTGGAACTGGTGGTGAGCGGGTGCCTGGAAAATTCTGTATTTTAACTTGGGCGATGACTACATTTGTAAGAATGGGTTTATACATTTCTAAAATTTCACTTAGCTGTAGTCAAAATGTGTACATTGTGTTAGACATATGTATCAATGCTCCTCTAATAAAGTAAAGGGCTGGGGATTTAGCTCAGTGGTTCCAGTGCCTGCCTCAGAAGCACAAGGTCCCGAGTTCGATCCCTGGTACCAAAAAAAAAAAAAAAAAAAAAAATCCTCTAACGAAGTTAAAAAGAAAAAAAAAAGCCCATACTTGTGGAGAAATTGATGTTCTTCAAACGCTTCACGCTCCGTATTCTCATTTGATAACATGAGCCTTGCATTATCTACACACAGTGCTTTAGTTGGGAGAACATTCTGAGCCCCAAACCTGAAGATTTACTTCGAAAAGTAAAAATGTTATGCCTAAGTAAAAACAGCTCTGTGTACGTGTGCCTGTGACCGCAGCCTTCCTTGAGTCCGCGAGAGCACGGCTTCTGGGCTCCTACCAGAATTTACCAGCAGGGGGCAGCGCTGCACAAACCCACACACTCCAGCCTTCCACACTCCAAATTTAGTGCTGCCCTCCTGGCCATTCAGTCTCCTCGCTCCAGATCTCCAGCTTCGCTTCCAAATTGACCCTCACCCCCTGCTCCGAAATCATGAGCAACAGTATTTCAAATGGACCTGAGCAGATCCTCATTGTGGAATGGAACGAAAAGACAAAATGCTTTTCACTCTCAAAACTGTGGATCCTCTGGCCTGCCTTGCAAGCGCAAGGACCCGAGTTCAATTCAATCCCCGGTACAAAAAAAAAACAAAACTATGGATCCGTGTGTGTGTGTGTGTGTGTGTGTGTGTGTGTGTGTGTGTGTGATGACTGAACCCAGGGCCTTCAAATTGAGCTATATCCCCAGCCCTTTTTATTTTTTATTTTGAGACAGAGTCTTGCTAAATATGTTGGCTGTGTTGGGCTCGAACTTGCAGTCCTCACGCTTCCACCTCCCTAGCTTATAGGTGGGCACCACCATGCTGGGTCAGGTGTGTCTTTGTTTATTTGTTTTCATTTTTGAGACAGGGTCTCAGTTGTAGCTCAGGCTGGCCTTGAACTCACTGTGTAGTCCACAGTGGCCTGGAACGTGCGGTGATCCTCCTGCCTATGCCTCCCAAGTACTGAGCTTACAGGTGCGTGCCACCACGCCAGGATTCAGGTGTGTCCTAAGT